ATACTATATATATATATATATATATATATATATATATATATATATATATATATATATATAATATATAATATATATATATATATATATATATATATATATATATATATATATATATATAATCTGTAACTTATAATAATGCGTGTGAGTATAGTCAATGGGAAATATTCCTTAGGAATACTGTGATTTATTGTTTTTGAGAAAACTTAAATACAACACTTTTAGCTGACGTTAAATAAGCTTCAACAATTGGTAGATTCTGGTGGAACAACTTCAACAGTGTTACAAACAACTGAACTTGAACTGAAGAAAGAAAGTGAAAAGGAAGCTGAACAAAACACTGTCGAACAACTTGAAAGGCAAATGAATCAATTATTTAAGTAAGTTTTTTTAACCTTTTTTTATCGCGAAAGTGATTATGGCTAAAGTTCAACGCGGGTCAATAAAATTTCAATCATCATTCACAGATATTGTCCACTCTGTTTATAAGAGTTAAAGTTTCTTCTTCAATTTTCCACATAGTATTATGTTAAAATTTGTTTAGGATGAGGGTCGATGTGAACGACCTTGAACCAATGGATCTTATAGTAAAATGTAACAAAGTTGAAACTGGGCCACCAACGTTCTTTGTGCATTCAATAGAAGGAATTGCCACACCGTTGAAGAAAGTTATGTCGAAGTGCAACTTCCCGGCATACTGTTTCCAGTCAACTAGGGAAGTACCACAAGACTCAATTGAAAAAGTTGCACAGAAATATATATTGGTATATGTTTAAAAACATTGTTAATCTGAGTATGCATTAATGTTATTGTGTATATGTGTAATATCCGCGGAAGATCAACCTTTTCAGATAATTTAATCGTAGCAAATTTTTTACAGGAAATGAAAAAGATACAACCGGAAGGACCATATCGTATAATAGGTTATTCCTATGGTGCTTGTATTGGTTTCGAAATGGCAACAATGCTCCAGGAAAGTGATGGTGCGAACTCTGTTGAAAGACTTATACTACTTGATGGATCTCATCTTTATATGCAAACTTATAGAAATGTTCGTTTTTGTAGTTCGGTTTTTTAATTTTCTTGATTTTCAATTTTTAAAATTGCTGCTTCAATAATTTTATAATATTTGGAAAGTTCCATGAATTAAAGGTTTATCGAATGGCGTTTGGTGTGACCGGTGATACACTTGTCAACAATCCACTTTTTGAATCTGAAATTATGTGTGCTATGACGTTACGCTTTGCAAATGTTGACTACAAAAAGTTCCGAGTTGAACTGTTACAACAGCCTGGATTTAAAGCCCGAGTTCAGGTCACACTCTTGCTTTAGCATCTATAAGTCGCAACGTAATTGAACATATTGTGTGCTAAGATTCTAAACTTTTTGCATGGTTTGAAATCCACTAAAACTTTTTTTCAGAAGGTTGTGGACACGGTAATGACGACAGGCCTCTTCAAATCAGCTGATACTATTGACTTCGCATGCTGTGCGATGCGTTCCAAGTTTGTTATGGCTGATAAGTAAGTTATTGCAAATACGTAGGCTCACTATGACAAAATACTAGAGTTCTTGGGTGGGTTTTACACCTGAACAAATACTGTAAAATTCAGCAATCATTTTACGATTAGTTTTTTAAAATCTCATAAATTAATCACTACCTTGGATTAATTTTAATATTAAAAAATCATTCAGGTACAAACCAGAACGAAAATTTAAAGGACTGATAACTCTAATAAGAGCAGAACAAGGAGCCGCAAGAGAGGAGGATGTTGGCTCTGATTACGGCATTTCACAGGTAATGATTCTTTTCTAAGAGTTTCAGTTTAAAGTGTTCCCGTTATGTTGTATGCATGTTGCGTCAAAATTGAAGTAGAAGAATAGAGAAGTGATAAAAAACAAGATAGGAAGGCAGTTACAGGTGTCCGACGAAAACAATGTATACATCGTGGGAGGTGACCACGACAGCTTCGTTCAAGGTAAAACTTCTGCAGAAACGGTGAACATAATCAATGACTTGATTGCGGAAACAAATAAGAAAGCTAAAAACGTATAATGTATTATTGGAAGGTATGTGTAGGAGTAATCAAATCATAATTGCCATTATTGTGGTAATTACAATCATCGTTGTAATCATGATCATAATTATAACCGTAACAGCAGTAACAGTTGGCTATGACTGATAACTACGGTTATGACAGTGATTGTAATTGTACTTATGGTTATGGTCGTGAATACAATTATGATTATGAAAGTAATTGTAATCATAACTACAAATACGATTACGATTGAGAATTATGAGTGATAATTGCAACTACAATCATGCTTCTAATTGTAGTTATGATTGTAATTACGATTCATGTTAAATGATTAGGATCGCAGCAGCGACTTTTAATTATGCCTAGGAATTATGATTGCTATCGCAATTACAATTACGATTTTAATCACAATTATGATTATTATTATAAGTGCGATTAGAACTGGGATTGTGATTACAATTTTGCACATTCCTCTCATCTCAATCTTTACAACGAGTTTTATTTCATTCAAGATGTGTAAATATTTATATGTGCATTCTGACTACAGCTATATATCATGATGCAAACTAGGAATGGATGTTTAGCTGACTGATACGCCATGAAATTACTGCTATTTGCGCAAAAAATTGTTATCATTCGTTGATTTCCTGTCATATAGAAGAAATTAACCGTTTGACATAGTTTTTTCCTTTTTTTTTGTATTTGTGAGGGCGAGCAATACCAGCTTTGAGATTACTTTTGTTCCGCAGCATTTACGGTAAGTGTTCTAATTCGTCGGAACTCAAGTTGCATCATCCAATGGGACAGAATCAATTTTCTGCAAACTTGCAAAAAATTAATCGCCGATTGACAAAATTTTAGTATGATATTTGTGATAACCCACCAATTCGAGGTATTTTCGTGCCTTCTCTATCACTTTTTGTAACATGTATTTGTTTGAAGCGATTTTTGATTGCTTCCAAATTTGCACCTTAAAGCTCATCAATATTCGTGCGTACTTCCACGGTTGCACGATCCTTTGATATTTATATCTCATTTCCAGAAAGCCTATTTAGTTGTCCTTCCTAATCATGAATAATCCGGATGAAGCTTTGAAATTCTTTTGACAAATTCTGATTTCTTCATATATTATCGTGCCTCGTTCAAACTTTTCTTTTTACTCACCAATCATTCTAGTAAGTTTTATTATAATGGTCGCCAAATATTATAAATAAATGACAAATCCTGCGTTGCAAGTGTTTGGGTCGCTTTTTAGAGTATTAATGCTGTTTCAAATGATGTTACTCATCAAAATACAGTTCCAGACACTCGAAATCATCTTGAATGCAGAATTCAGAAGTTTTCCATTCGTGGATTCCTTCCAGTGAATGCTTCCTTGATGCTCCGTTAAATTATTTCTATCCCAAAGAGCAGCATTATTTTGACCATCACTATTCTTCACAATAATGCGGTTAATGGTAAATTCACAGGGTATTATTCCATCCTTATTTGCTTAATGAAAACAACAAATCCACTGATAGTGAGCGAATAATGCTGGTAAAAAAGAGCTTCGAAGAGCTGCTAATAAAGAAGTAACATTCTTCAATGCAGCAACTTCGCGGTCAAATCAAGTAGAACTTTCTCGAAGTGACAAAGACAAAGAAAACCTCTTTTGTCTCCTCCTTTTGAAGGCGTTGCATCCTAATGCTACCAAAATTAGTCCATAAGTAGTAATTGTCTGTAAATATTAGTAAATCTTCCCTATAAATAAGCGCTCATCCTTATCCGAAATCCAAAAAGGAATTACCTGAACGGCGGAAATCCTAAAAGCGTCCCTTCTTCTTCAATGAAACCATTTAGAAAGATAGGAGCAGGAATCTGACGGTCTCAGTAAGGAAATACATAGCGATTCTTATGGAGTGCAAGCTCTTAGGTTAAAGCGAAGTTTGGTGATGTATAAGCATGTCTTTCGAAGATCACAATGTCTCATCAGATTTTTACCCTGACACAACATGCCTCCAAGATTATGCTACTGTGAAATATAATGAATACTTACATGTGAAGCGTTACTTCTCTGCGATTGCTACAAGATCCTTCTAATTTAGTTTTTCAAACGCAGACATCTATCATCGTTATTTGTACTACTACCACATCTTAACATCTTATTTGTACTACTACCACATCTTAACAACAACTTGCGTTAGTGAGCAAATATCTCGAATACCTTCAAGAGGTGATAAAATAGGCTAGCGCCAGGCAAGATAAGAATCATAAAGAAAATTAAGATAACATCATTTAGGTAGGATAAGACACCACTGCCTCTTCATTGATCGCATTATTCGCTGGACAGAACTCACTGCTCCATGACTCGGAGGCATGGCAGGCGCCATCAAGGCGACATCAATTATGGTCCGAGAACTTCGTGGGTGGCCCTTAAACGGCATTTGTGAATGTCGCTATCCATAGGTGATGGTTAAATTGTTGCAGAACAAATTAAACATCACATATGGACAACGACAATTGCAGAAATTTCGTTCTAAAGGTCCAACATGGTATTAGGAATATGGCGAGATGTGCGCGAGAGGATGTGATTAGCTGTTAGTTTCTAACCAACAGCCAATTTGTTTTTTACTTATTGAGAAATGTTGTGAACCTAACTTATCCTTATTGAAAGTTGAAAAAACTATTCCAGGGTAATTTTTCAATGTTTAATTTGTGCAATTTATCCTTATTGGCGCTTGGCAACCTCCTTAGTTTGAATTGTTATCGTTTATCGTGAGCAATATTTCGACCGTCCAGTTTTTTTCTTCACCAACAAAACTGGATATAAAACCAGTTTGGATACAAATGCTGAAAATAGTTCAAGGTTCGATGCCAATACAAACCTGGTTTTCTCGTCCAGATGTGCCAATACTCGTGCAGTAGAAGCCTTCGAAGAAACTAAACTGAACTACTTCCCATTAACCTTACTTCTAGACAAAAACTTTCCTGCCAATGTTTGAATTTTACCATACAATTGTGTCTATAAATCCATAAATCCTCCATAAATTAGATCCATTCCAGTACGTCTAATCAGCACTATTTCCATACTAAGTAAAAGTAGTAAATTCGAACAATAAAAAGAAGGGGTTTCAACGTGCATTTCCAGCTCAGTAGAACAAAGAAGTGGAAGAACATATTTGCGCTCTTATCCATATAATTTAATTTTCCTTTTATTGCAAGTGTAAAATTATTCTACTGAAATCGAAATTTCTATTTCCTATTTAAATCTGCTTATGGGAATCAGTGATGAATAAATGGTTCAAGCCACTCGTTTATCCTAGACTACAATACGATCGACTCTACTGATAGCTTCAAAATATACGAAATACTTTTTGAGAATGTTAATCTGTGGTTACTTTACTATAATTGAAAAACGTGAATTCAGAACGATAAAGTTAGAAGAAGGTATGCCATCATATAGCAGCAAGTTTTCGCCCGCTGTAAAAAATACATTTCAGACTGTTAGAGCAATTTTTTATTATTAGAAAAGAAATCACAGGAGAAATGTAAGCTGCAAAAAAAAAAAAGAGTTCACGCAGTCACATCAGAAAAACAATAACCGTTATTTAGACCAATGAGTTTACATTTGCTAAATGCAAAGAACCTTTGCATCAAAAAGATGTCACTGCCTTCATACCCAGTGATACAATATAAACTTACAAATATAACCCATAGACCTCAGCAATGCTTGTGTGTAACAGAGAAATGCAAATTTGAAAATGACTGTTCAGCGAGCAGACTGATTAACTTCAGGTAAAATTTCACTTCACATGCGATTCACTGAATAAGTTTGCTTCTAGTTTAAAGCTGTATTCAATTTGAGAAGAATCTGGAAATTCAACTCACTTGTGCGGCTGTTGATCCGAACTCACACTGGACAATGAATCCTCAGATAGCTCCTGAAATTTCAATAAAATTAAAAATATGACAAATAGCAATATGTATAAAAATCAATTTACAACTATTCATACCTACTGAAAGATTCCTGCTTCTCCACTTCTCGCTTATAACTAGAGACAGGAGCACGAAGAACGCAATCAAAAGGCATGTGCTGGGGACAACGACAACCACCATTCGATAGAAGCTTGTACAGTGAACTGCACTTTTACTCGTTCTGCAAAGTAGCTCTTTCATTACTTTGAACAACGGATTTTATTATTAGAAGAGTCTTTTGGAGTGTGATAAATAAAGAGGATAGGATCGACTGTCAGTGAACTAACGTGAAGCATGATGGACTGAATAGTTCGATCATTTGCAAAACTAATCCGTTTGAAATTTTGTCCATGGAACTGAAAATACCATAAACAAAGGCACCACTTTCCTGCAAAAAAAATAATTCACTGCATTCGTTTCAATCAAAATGATATTAAAAGCAACAAGCAAAAATATTTTAAGCTTAACACAAATATGACAGGATAAACAAGATGAAAATAGCAAAAAAAGATAAGCTTGAAATGGCTTTACTTTGTATTGATTCAGATTTAGTTCAGCTCACGCGATTTGAGCATTTTACACAAGTACTACCGTCTCCTCCCGATTTTAAATTGTATTTTCCAGAGCTTTTTTGCATTATCGCAAAAAAGAAGAATGGTAAAAAAGAAGAACGGGAAGAATGAAGCAAAAACAGGCTGAAATAAGCATAATAACTGATAGCTGCTGGCAAAAGCAGGCTTCATCTCTTCTTCCAGAAAACAGAAGGAAAACATCTATCTGATTAATGAGTGAAGTATATCTATGTTTCTCAATTGCTGGTTTGACTACCACCCGTTTAAACAACCTGATCTTATGTATCGTGCTTGAAAATTTAAGATGATCGCCTATATGTTATAACTGCTCCCATATTACAATAAAATTTCAAAAAGGCTTCAAGAAAATTTGAAATATTAAGCTGGAGAAATCATAAGTAACTTACTGTATTTTGCCTAATGAGCTTTGCCACTGCAGAAAGTGAAGTTATTAACAAAATTGCTTGGGCTACACCCAGAAGAAAAGCAGTTACATGGACTGGAAAATATGTATCGAACAGTATCACCAAGCAGCTTAAAATACCGCAAAAACATCCCAGTAAAGCTAAACTCTGAAAACGTAGAAACAAGAGAATAACAGTATACACTTTAAACTTCAAACACTGAATCACCCAAAATTTCGGAAAGAAGCACACTGTACAAAATTATATGTCACAGAGTATTTATGGATGAGCTTGAGCTTAGACTAAACTAAACTTGCCGTAATCCCTTCTTGCAAGATAACACCAAAATAACCATGCAGGTTTAAAATTTGAAAAAGCCTGAAAATATGCCGAACTTTCTACGTCGGAGCTGTTCCCATCAAAATCTTAGCTACCGTGTTCATCCACAGCATTTCCTTCACAATACTAACTCTTAGTTCTATCAAAATGATCAGTAACTCTCGCGATGAACGCCGCAAATATTACTGATCTCTTTCATATCTTGGACATGCATATGACAACTAATTAAAATATATACTAAGCAAAAAACTCACTGAATCTCCATTATAAATATGTGGCACCTAAGACCACTCTAGACACTACGCAGTACGGAAGAAATAGAACTTCTAAATCACGACTAGATCAACCAGCCTTTGATGGCTGCTCCATTTTTACTCCACTTTCTTTTCTCTTTGCACGAATAGCAAGATACAAAAACTCACTTCCAAGTTGCATCGACGATTTATAAAAGATAAACCAGTCAGGGAAGAAATCAGAAGTGACGAACAATAAGAGACCATCGGTAACATAGCAACGTACATCTGGAAGCACAACAAATCATATCAATACATTAAGTAGATTAGTTGCAATTATAAAAGCAAGCGTGTGATATCTCAAGGAACAGTGCAAGAAAGTCTTCTGTGATTTAGCAACGAAAAAGTTGACAATCAAGTCACCTTTGAAAGATTCGGTAAATGTGTTATGTAGAAAGGGAAATAAACCTGCGATATGTTAATATACAATCTGCAAAGTACGTACAACATTCCAACCTGAAAAATAAGTATGATATTCAATTTCAAAAACTTGTTAATGAATAACTTGGATATAGCGTTCCTTTAAAATTGTTTTCGAATAACTTCTGAATTAAGCATAAAACGTGTTGCCTTCAGATGACGGTATTATTTGCAGAATAAATTACTGGTCTAACCGCTGTTACATTTGAACACATTTTCGAAATGCATTGATAAATTTAATCACATTGATAAATTTAATCACAAATGTTTTGCTCATGCTGTTAAATTGCCTTTAGTTTGCTAATGTAGAATGCTAAATAGCCAAAAAAAAGAAGTTAATACAGTCCAGACTGGCAAGCACATTGTTGTTGGGAAATTAGCAGTCTTCCTGGACATCATAAATAAGAACGTATTTTAGCTGATGTCAAATTCCCAATTGCATGAAGAACATTTAGAAAATTAAATGCAAAGCGCTTGTGAAAGTTATTTTAAAAAAAAATTTCCACATCACTGCACGAAAATTTCGATTTTCGTTTACTGGTCATTTGAAACCACTCCTTTTAATCGAATAATCCAAATTGCAAGCAATTCCTTCTGCAAATTTCCAGAAAATATGTCCCTTTATTTCGCTGGAAGACTTAAAATTTCTTAAAATGCAGCACTACCTGGTAAAATTGAAAACGACACATCCATTTGAGAAATGATAATTTGAATGAACGTAAGATTCCAGATTGATACCGCGACTGAGCAGATACAATAACATGACCTATTCTTGAAGGTTCTTTTGTTGCGGCATAAAAAACAATTTGAGTAAAAAGTCCCAAAATGATAACTATTCCCGACATTGTCTAGAAATGCAGTGTATAAAGCTCATTTTAGTTTCATTAAAATGTTACTTTCTGAAAATTGTTGGTGAAGAACGCAGAAAGCTTACGCTAAAGTGCCGAAGATCCATTGGACCAACTGCAGAGCCTTTATCATCAAAATATAACATTACCGAAAGTGCTGCAAAAATAACTAAATTTGCAACAACCGTGAATCCATACCTATAAACAAACAATAGATGCAAAAAAGAGGAAAAACGAAAATTACATCTGGTAATTTCTTTACATTTTGATATATGGACTGTATCGGTTTATAAGAAACAACCTAACGGAGTTCATCGTCGTTCGACGGCTCTCATCACATGTTAGCTCCGGTAGCAAAGCCAAATGTGAGATCTGCAAAATATATCATTGTGTTGTGTGATTTAGCTCTCAATAAAAAAAATTAAAGTTTCTAAATATTGAAAAAGCTTAATAGAACGGACAATGTTAATGTGCACTTAACTCAGTTTGATGACTACAATACATCCAAAGTTTACAGAGAAGAATGTGAAACAAACAAAACACAAAAAGATTACTTGCACAGCAGCCCATCCTATTTGAAATACAATTACATATGGCGCATACCAGACAAAGAGTCCCCAATCAGTCGTTGAATAACCGCATATGAAGCATTTATTGTAAATAAATGCAAATGAAGAAGTCACTAACAGGGTACCTGCAATGAAAAGTATAGTATAACTGTTGTCAGTTTTATCTTTACTCAGTCAAAAAATATTTCCATCAAAAGTAAAGAAAAATTACACATACTCATTCACCAGCAAAAAAGCAGAACATACAGCATTTCAAAATCCTCATCCTAATATTCCACACAATTATTTAGAAATATTACGCATTATGCATCCGAATCGTTTGTCACATTATGGAATTAAATAAATTTATACATTTATATAAAAAAATAAAAAAGAACTGCAAACAACACACCAAAAGCATGCCATGACTTCCTTTGTCCACAACGTCGAAAACAAAGCGGTGCCGATGTCGAGTCATTCAGAACTCCAATGAAGGCTGTGCTCAAGGCATCGGTAGCCTATAATAAACTAATTGACAACATTCATGCCAAGGTATCTCACAGCCAATTCGAATAGATGCAACTGTAAAAAAGCAAAGGATCACATCCCTTAATTCACGACAGAAAAACCGCAAACTTATTTATTTAAAGACAAATTTATTTATGCGCCAATTTATTTACCCACAATTTATTTATTTATATTACTCCATGAAGACAGCTGTTATGACACCATCCTTCTCTTTTACCTTACCATTTAAGATTTTAAATCCAGAACAGTATGACGTGGACGTAATTAATAATACAAATAATTTCGCTTTTCCTTTTTTTCCTTTTATAGTAGCAATAGCATGTTCATGAAATGCCATTTAATTCTTCATGACATCAATATATAGTCGATTCTGGAGAAGAAAAAAACGAAAGAAATAGAATGAAACCTGGCCAATTAACATGATCAAGCCCGCTACAGAACTGCGCATAACAATCACTTTTTCCAGAAATAACAAAAAATATGTGAACCACATGCTAGCACACAAATCGTTATAAAAATGCCCAATTCCATACCCAAATACCTGACACCCAGTCAATTCGTTTGATATACCTGTAGTCTCCTAAAAGAAAAACGAATTTAAATGTCAACACACGAAATTCAAGCTTGGACAAGTTTCAAACAAACTGGAATGAATAAAAGAATATTCGAAAATTCGGTATTCCATTTAAGAATTAACGTAGTTCATAGTAGAGTAGTGGTTATCTAAATCGAAACAAGTTTTCCCTCACTTTCATCACATTCTTTTACCTTTCCTGTTGTTACTTCATAATTTTTGTATGTAAAAAATGGCCCAGTAACCAGTAATCAATCATAATGGGGGGGGGGGGGGGAATTGACATCATAGTATAAGCGTTTTCTCTTGTTTTTGCATTACTCGGTGTCTATATTTTAGTTCTAACTTCTTGTCCATTTCTTCTAACATTCATCTCAAATTACCAGAATTACACCGGGAGTGTCGGTAACCCATTTACAGTGCATAACATCCCTGTGTCCCAGAAGAATTACAAAACTTCCAGTCCGACTACGGTCAAGTTTGTCAGGAGTTTATTTCGTCGAAATATTACTGATACTTACAACTTGTCTGCAAATGTCACTCGTGACGTTCATCGTTTCCTCACCATCCCTTTCTTCGTTTCTTCCCATTTTACACCTGAAGTTCCAAAATGAGGAACACATCTTTTCCTCATTAATGTCGTCATATTCACCCAATGTATGTTAACCACAAGTGCAAACCCTCCCTCGTACGTCATAAATCCTCTCTTCCACGGGATTCCCAGTGCCTACTCACCGTCCTAGCAAGATGAATCCAAACCACTGACTCACTTCATTGTCTCACTGATGATTGTATTGCACAACAGTAATGAAATGTTGCTGAGCCCCCTGTATAGCTCGTACAGATTATTGGCTCCTCAAGTTCAACTTGTGATGCTTTTGGGGGGGGGAGGGGGGGGAGGGGGGGGGGGAGGAGAAGGTAGAAGTATTCACGGGGAAATATCTATTACACCTTCACTCTGTTCCATCCGCGGGAAATATTCCACTTCTGGTGTGCAAACCTCAACATTAATACACCTATACGGGAGCATATGTTGTCATTGATATTTGCAATTGAAATGCAGAATTATTTAAGGTGACATGCTCTGTTTCTTGGTGCTCTCTCCGCTTCATCAGTGAAGTATTTTCTTACTTATCGACAGAGAGCGAAATAGATTCTGAATGATAACTGCGTGCCATTGCGAATGAGGATATCCGGACAACGAAAGGGATGATTGTGAAGACGGACACTGCCGTTTCCACTTCTTCCCTGCTTCCCTATAAGCCGGTTTTATTTGTTTCATTTTGAATAGAGAATTCCCGATTAAATGTGAAAAAGACAGAGCTGGAGAGACGTTACATTGATATTACTGTACCGAAAGCGGAAATCTCATCATTGTTGCAAACCTTGGTTTGATATTTATAATATTGGCCCGAATTGCAACCTCTTTTTCCTACCAGGTAGTGTCACTGACTCCATTAGGTTTTTGCCTTAATGCTATCCATTATGCTTCTTGCTATCATTCTTTCCAGAATTCCCAGAATTACATATCATTTGTGTAAAATTAATGGAAATTATGTGACTAAATCATGATTCTCTTATCCCATTTAATTATTGATCGAATCACGTTTACTGTACAACGATAACAGTATTAGAAGAGTTGTAGGTTCAAAAATTAGTCCAATTAGCTTCCCACTGGAGCACCAAAAAATCAGTTTTTCAGAATGCCTTGCTAGAAGATGAAATGGCTTTTTGGGCTATATGGACAACTAAATTAATCATCTATTAAAACTGTAATCAATAAAATACCATAATGATGGTGGAATTTTTTCTACTCATTGAATTGATTTCAATAATTGGAATTTCTTTTCAATGTAATGTAATAAGCTGCTAATAAATTTTTGCATGATACTTTATAATTTTATCATTTTCAATGTTTTTAGATTTAACATATCTCAGAGGTTTTGTTCATTTGTTCTTCCGTGTTCGCGGTTTGATTGATTCTGATAGATCCCAGATCTCATCTTCACTCAAGTAATTGTTGAATCCATTAAAGAACTGAATAACCTTTTCATCCTTTTCGATCGAGTAATTCCTGTAAAAGATGCTTATCGTTTCCCAAAATAGGAAAAAAAATTTTTTTCCATGGCGAAAATCCCCTTTTCATGTTTTTATGCACCCCAGGAGGATGACAACGGAGCAACGATCAGTTGTATCAAGCCGATCTGTCTTTTATGGCTTTAATTATGAATGAGATGGAGATCAAACAATATTATCCCATCGTTTACCAGCTTTTGAAACATCTGATGCTGTCTAAAATTGCAAACTGTTGCCATCTTTTGCCATAGTTTATGAGATTCTTTCTACCGTTGCATTGTTCTGGTGGGAGATAGTCACTGTTACCGATATGTACAAATGTTAGATCTTGCAAAACAAGTCCTCTGCAAAATAATTATCGTTTTGAGGGATAATATCTGTGATGATGTGCAGGATCTAAAATGCCTGCTATCTCTCATTTTTTAATTTATTCTTTCCTCTAAAAACCACCATTGAAATTGTACCATCTAATAAACAAAAAAGAGAAAAAAAAGTTTTGAAAATGGAAGCTTACATACATGTATGGCAAGCATGGAGGACGGCTTTCGCTTAGCAATGTGCGATAATTTCGGAAGGAATGTGAGCTGTCCATCACAACCGAGTGTTCCTTCAAGAGATCGGTGATATGTTTGGACCAATCTAATCTCCGAATGGGACCCGAATCTAGTGCTGATAAGATTGCCAAATAGGAATTGTAATTACCCACAATGCGCAAATGCTGCAATTAGAAATATTTTGAAATTTGGAAACAAACAGCATCTAGCATCTTTAAGATAACGATAAGGGTTGCTTTCTACGTGGACTATTCAGCTTATTAATTTCAGTTTCATTTTAGATATCCAACTATAGGATTTCTTCGGGGTCAAGAAGTGAACAAATCACGTCAACAGTATCATTTAGATCTTTACATTTGAAACTTTTCTTGCTACTTAACTGTTGACGTAGAGGCATACAAATGTCATGAACGTTTGGGTCTTTTAGTGTTGTGTTGCCGCTATAATCGCAACAAGTCTTCTCCGGTGATTTACTTGTATTTCCCACATGCAGTCTAACCTAAATTTTTTTCTTTCCCTTAGTCGACTTTCTCAAGCCTTTTTTATATAGCAATATGATTTGCTTTTTTCGATGAAATATTGAGAAAGCATAGCGGTGAGGAATTTGCGTATTTCATACGCTTCGGTTTAGACATGTTCTATATTAATATCGTCTGTTCTAGTGAAGGCGGCATTTTGCTGTTCAGTGGTCCGTGAAGGTAGAATTTTCCACCAGGTGAGATGAAAAGACATCAATATGTAATTTGAATAAGGTCCATTGCTAGAATGGTATAGCAGCAACAACATCAGTTCCCTCCCGCATCCAAGCTTTCTCTTTCAGCCACTCTCAGTAGATCATTTTTTAATTCCAGCAACCTGTAAATCGTCAAGGTTCCCTTTCAACTTTCTTCCCATCATTTTACGGAGCAGAGAATTGAGCATTCGAGTTATGTCCTCTTTTTATAGGCCTTCTACTCAACTTGATGATCATCAAGTGCAGCCTTCCTGATTGCGCTTGCCTTTTCCTCCCGTCCTGAAAAAGTTCTGAACGAGACATTGATAGCGGATCATTGTCGTCCTTCATGATTTGGTGAGAAATTTCAACTTGGTGTCAAAAATACGAATAATTTGAAATTTATTCGTATTTTTTGTCGTAATATGCAATGATCGCTTTGGATGAAAGTGTTGCGAAAGTGGATGTTCCTTGGCTTACGTCACTTATCTATTAATTTAACCGATCTGGTGCTTTTGCATTCCAAGTCCATCTCCGCTTCATCCTCTTTTTGGACGAACTCTTACTGCTATTGATGTCATTTGATCTCTTCTGTCTTTTCGCTTCCAGTTCTGATCTTTCCAAAGTACTCTTTCGTGCTATTTATCGTTCCAAGTTTTGTCGCAAAGCTCAAAGTGACATGTAAATGTAGTTGATTCTAAAAGTCTTGGCGTTATCTAGCCGGTGAAGAAGCAAGTAAATCCAACAGCGGCGAACATAATTGAGTGGGAGTGACATAATAAATTTGCTTCCTACAATATTTCTTCGACTTTCATCCAATCTCAGAGAACGTTTACTACTGTTCTCCAGGTCATGTTAAATTCCACTCTTCAACACGTTCACACAGTCCAAAGATGTTGCAAGATGTGCTACTGTGCGGAAGATGATTGATGGGGGGTTTCCTCTCGACCTACAATTATAGGGTCGGCATGGTAGGACCTAAGATTGTTAGTAATCCATCTTCAGTAGATTGCACTTTCATGACCTGGAGACCTGGACTTCCATGACCTAGCCAAGTAGTTTTGTCCCTACTTCAATTTTTTTACAAAATGTTATTCTCGAACATACCGATCTTTAAATGAATGAAATATTTGTCTCATTCATTTAAAGATATTTTGAATGAGATCTTCAAATGAATGACATCTTTAAAATTTTTAAATGAACCCATATTTTGCTCAGATTTCCCTTCACGATTTACTTAAAGACTAACATAGATAAACCCTGAAAAGTCAGAAATGAGGAAAGGTACCTTCATTATCTTGACAAATTTCGACATCACTTTTTCACGTGTTCTCTGCTCACATGGTGTCAAGACAAGAGTTCGAACCCAGTAGGAGACCTAAAACAAATTTCTTTCAGAAATGACAAAAATTTGTGAGACTCGTGGTACTGTTTCATTTTTTCATTAGGAAGAATTTTGGACCTTCAGCAGGCGAGTTATTGATCGACTGGAATTTTAAAGCTTACATCGTTATTTCCTACAGATAATACTCAAACAGATGTTATGGTGAACGTGATGGCTATGAAGTAATAATCATCTTACCTTGTTAAAATGCTCGGTGAAACGACACAGGTTTGGACTTTTTTTCTCGTTTTGTTCTTGTGCCCACCAAAGCATTTCAGCTGGCTGAAAGTACCCTTTGCTGATGACAGGAAATTCTTCGTTTCATAAAAAAATACATGTTAAAATTTTTGAAACCATGAATTGAAACATATCAGAATTTCTTTCTTCCGCGTCTGGAAGTGTGCTAGGTTGTTAGAAGCTCATAATTGAAGTTTCGAATTTCACCTCAATCATATGGAACAATTCTGCATCCAAATAAGTCATTTGTTTGGCGATTATTGCGGAGCGGATATCAAAAATTGTTAATTGCCTAAAGTAGAAAATGTTATATATGAATTGTATAAGAGATAAAAGGAATAAAAGCATGCCTTGAGCTCAGGTTTCTCATATTAGTTCGTTCCTTTGATGTCGCCACAGATCTTTTTATTGACTTTAGGTCCATTTGTGACATTAGTCTTTTCCTGGAAGCACGTTTAAAAATAAAAAGAAATCACAGTAATATGTCATCATCACTTGGAACTTCTCTATTATTCATTGTATAATGATGGAAATTGTACAGAATAACCTCAAAATCCTTGCAAAGGTGTAATTTTCGTCTTTAACAAGGCGACTTATGAATTTTGTAATTAGACGAATAAGTTTCCGCGTTTGTTCCACCGCGCACAACTCATCAACCACTCGTACCAACATTGAAAAAGTTTGACGAGCTACTTTTATTGATTGCCTTTCTTTTATGGAATACATATACAAATACCTAAACAACTTGGAGCTTCTTAAAAAAAAAAAGAAAAAATACGTGGAATATATGAAGCCTTGGATCCATCAGCAATTGTTTTCTAACAATATGTAGTAAGTATACAATCATAAAACTTTCTACACATTTAATTAGATATATACCATTATTTCGATGCGACTGATAGATCGAAGAGATGAACTATTTAACTTATACCTTTTAATCAATTTTTGGATAAGTTCATCTGATTTGACAAAACTGCGATAAGTTGTAAGGAAAGCCTCTTGATAAAGTAATGATCCTGATGGCTGGGTCGCAAAAGCAATCAACGCATCTTTAGGTCCACCACGAACCTGCAGACGAATTGCAATACGGAAATGTAAAGAGGCTTTTGTAATTATATAACGATACGAAAAAAGTAAGCTTACTTCGTTGGGTTTGGAAAGTGCATCATGTGCTCGTAGCATTAACCAGTCTGTCACATCAATACATTCCAAAATTTCTGGAGCTTCCGAACATGCCAGTGAGGTTGTTCCTTTCGCGACATCATTCTATAGCACATACTTGCTAACAGTCTGCGAATTGTATTTTTGACGACGAACATTTCAAATATTCAAAGTCCGAAAAAAAAAAACTGAAAATTCCTCTTTCAAGACCTAGCTTAACATTCTATTACGACATTTATCAGCAACGCTTAAAAAGTAGCTAAAAATTCAAATTACCGACAGTAAACTGAGGATTAAAGGAAGTGGCCAAGCAGTCAGCATCATTAACCCTTTTCGTAGGATCGATAGACGCTAATGACTGGCGTGTATTCCGGCTATTATGGAAGAAATATTGCAATAAAGCAGTGGGGAAGTTCGAAGACTTGAATAAGTAGTATGATTGAATTTCAGAGGAATTGTTCTCTACATTCAAAAAAGAGAAAACTAAAACTTTGTTGCATGAAATAGGCCAATATTTCAATACAAATAATAGACCATTTCATAGGTATAAGCAAATTAAATTCAAAAATAAAATGACAAAGACTTCTTACTTCATCCATATATCGTTTTGGCAGCATAATCCTGTCAGTTTCAGTGTACTGTAACAATTGGCTCAAATCGGAGAAGTTCTGATTTGATACAGCTACTCCTGCAAGAAAAACGATTCATGCAGCGGAACTGATACAGAATAAATTGAGGCTGGAAATGAATAAATTTATCGGCATGAAACTGATGAACTGTTTGTAATTTCTGCATATATGTAGACTACACTATACCGGAGAGATAATACAAAATACGGAAAAGCAAAATTGATTGAGGAGATGAAATGAGAGGAAGAGGGAAGAATGAGGTGATCTGAAAGGAGAAAGGGCGAACTGGATAATGAAAATTCGAATGAAATCCTTTTTTTGTACTGTTCTTCGTGGTATCGCAAATTATCATTCAACAAAATGTATGAAGCAAGTGTCGAGCCTTTGAAGAAATCATCCTGATCTTCGCTTTTGTTTCCAAAAGTCTGCAATTTCAACCTCACTTCTAATTTTAGGTCAATTCATTTAGCAACCTTTAATTACCAAAACATATCAAATGAACTGGAGAAATAGATGAAGATTCGATCATCAGCACCATAACATATAGCACTGGTTATTATGTAGCTATATTTGATAATAATTAGTAAACAATAGGATACACAAGGTTATACAAATTACCTGCATATACTGGATAACATGACGTTGCTTTGGTGGAATTGGAGGTGAGGATGATGATTTGGTGAGACCCATTTTCACCGTACTATGCTCTTCGTAAGAACCGCTTCCACGACGGTCCAATAACTCAACATCCTGGATATCAGTTTAGCTAATTTGGTTGAAGAATTAACTTGAACTGGAACTGCAACTCCTTCATTCGATATTTTCTTCAGAACTGTGCTTTAAAAGGAAACCACTTACTACGGACTAATTTAACTTCACCTGAAACATTCCTTATATAAGTCATCACCTTAAACGTTTCCACTTGTCTCGCATTTAGCTCACTTTTATCAATCTTCTGTGCAGCATCGTCTGCAATAATTTTCCCATTCTTCTTCGCTGTCTTCGATACTTTTCTGGAAGATTCGCAATAAAACATCCCAAAAAAAAACTTTTTTTTGTAAAACTAGAACCCCTCATAAAAAATAAAATCCCTCAAAAAAAGAAATATATGCCGACAACTTACTGGGAAACAGTATTTGTATGCTGAACACTTTTGATTTTTTGCGAGATGCCTTCATCCGAATTTGTTGCATTATCTGTCGTCTTTAGTAAATCATCCAGACATTTAACTCCATCCAAGCGGTTGTACCGGAATGAGTTTCGAGGTTTCGTAAAAAAATCATCCGTTGCCAAATCATCGTTAAATGATGTATTGCCGTCATGAAAGGTATTCACAATCTCATCACCTCCATTACCATGTGATCGTACTGTTACCTGCATCTTTTCATTATTTCACTTACACATGAATCTTAATCAAACTAAAGTTATGAATTAACAACGAGAAAGAAACGATTATGACTTGAATTGAAAAAGGAATGGAAATTGGAATATAAGTAGCATATAAGTAATGAAATACATAAGTAATTGGAACGTAATAAGTAATTGGAATATAAGTAATAAAATACTCAAATACCTGTTTGCTATTCTGCTGCATATTAAATGTTCTCGTTTTCCGTGTCCTTATTTCACTGCCATCTGACAATCGTTGAACTTCCTCCTCACAAGTTTTCGTGTCTTTTTTCTCTTCACGTTCTTCTCTGAAATTGTAGAAAAAAAAAGATTTCTTTGAAATGATCATTGAATCCTAGCACTATACATCGAGCTTACTCATTTATCCTTCTTTAAATGATATATATCTTCTGCATATTCTTTCATATATGAAATTTAGTTTCCATAACTGCAAAATAATTTATTGAGTAATTTCATAAATGTAAAAAAAGAGACGAATCGAAAAACTTTATTAAATTAAAGTGATCTGCCAGGTATATCGGACCTTTCAGTACCTTTTTTCATGAATAATATCGAAGTCATCCTCGTCACTGTCTTCATTTTCAACCTGTGGGAAAATTGGTACAAATTTTGTAACTTGATGAAGATTCAGTTGTGCTAAGAGATCATCGAGGCTTTGATCCATCGAGCTGACATCTATGATCCCTTTAAAAAAAAGTGAATTATATGTTTGAAATTTGCCAATAACTAAAATAATCTATTTAAGCATGCACTGATCGGTGTTAAAATCAAAATATAATATTTATTATGATTTCTAAATTACAATATTAAACGTAATTTAAATAACAAAGTTACTGTACTTTCATTTAACTTTCAAGCTACCAATCCTAATTAATTCGAGAATGGATATTCCCAGGCTTATGAAACTGCCATTTAATAATTAAAAGCGTTTTTGATTGGATACTATCTACTTCTATAACATTTCTACCCAGATACTGTTGACTAAGATGAAAGACGAAAGAGAAAAGAAACTGACCAACATTTTCGGATGAGTGATTTAAGGAGGAAGATGTATCAGCACTAGATATACTGTGGAAACTCGAATTATTTGGTGCTACAGATGTGTTATGATGTCCCTCATGAAATTCAAATAGATTGATATTGCTAGGTTTTGAACTAGGTTTTTCATTGATCTCCATAATAGCCTACAAATTGTTAATGCTTTTTACAAAATGATTGGGTATAAGCACATTTCCGGATTGTTATTTCCTTATGGATGGACAACCGCAAACATCTCCAGAAGACATCACCATTTACTAGCAAAATAACCAAATCTATTGATGACCTAATTAAGCATAAATTAGTCAAACTGGTAGGCATAATCCCTTTGAGAAAGCCAATGTACAATTGTTTTCGATGCAATGTTGCAAATTCTTTGCGTAATCAAATCGCATTCCACTCGATGATTATGTAATCTCGATAATTTAGCATATTGAAAACTGTTAATGATTATGCTCACATTTGCTTACTAGACTGTTCTTCTAGAAATATTAAATAAAATTTACAAACTTTTAAAAGTTCGTTAGCTAGACGTGCTCCTTCACTTCTATCGTTTTCCCAGTTTTCTAGCTCTGTCACTGTATCATGGTCATCATAGATAGTACTTGATAAGATTTTGTTTTCAATCCAATCCAATAATGCTATTAGGGCATCCTGAAAAACCAGACAAATTTCATCATGAATAAAAGTTATCAAATGAAAATTTTGAAAATTATACGTTTATTATCTGGAATTATATATATGTGATTATCTATACAATAAACTGATAAATGAAATGTATAAAATGACCTGAACATGAGGTACAGGATATTTTAATGTTGATATATAGGAAAGAACTGAATCAAAAAGGGCATTGGTGCTGCCAATAAGTACTTCAAACATATCAGTGCGAATTACTTCATGCAGGAACTGTATTGACACTTCAATTTCTTTTACTGGTTTTTTCATCAGTGCAGAAGCAGCACTTGAACTTTCCTGTATCAAATAGTAAAAGTTACCGTAAACCTCATCCGATATTATGAAAGATAAGAACCTATCAGCAATTATAATTACTTGATCAT